TTCACAAGGCAGCAGAAGAGCCGTAGTTGCTCCTGCCTGGCCGATCCCTGCCGCCTTTCTCTATAATAAAGCTTCCTCCGAGCCATCTGTTGTAAATTAACTGGTCCTCCATCACGCAGCAGCTTTCCGCTGGACAGGCAATTAATGGCGCAATCAATGAAATCTCCTCAATTTAGCTCTGACCTCCGAAGGCTGATCTGCCAACTTAATCCTGGGAGGCTGAGAGCCGCCCCGCCAGCCTCGCGGGCTTTCCCTCCACGCTTTGCACGCGCATCGCAGAGGAAAATCTGCGAGATGTTTCCAAAGCCGGTATTAATTTAGGAAAACTGCTCTTCAAACCGATCTTATTTAAGGAGGTCACTCGGGAGGCACTTTTGCTGGTGGTTAGCTTTGAGTGAGTGGTGGAAGGATGCTGCGCTGCCTGGGGTCAGGGCAGATGGTGGGCAGGGGCTGGCGTGTTCCTACAGCATCTGCTGACTTGTAGCAGTGTCATAAGCATCAAAACAGTAGCATACATCCGCTTTTTTTTTTTTTTTTAATTTATTATTATTGTGGTTGTAGCAAAAGGGAAAGAAATTTCACAATTGGAATATTTCCTCGCTGAAATGTGGGAGGTAACTGATGGCTGGAAGGGGAAGGTGGCCTGATCCATCCATCCTTGCTCGAGGGGGAACGGGGTCCTCCCCTGTGCTCAGTACTTACCATCTGGTGCTTTTTTTCCTAAGCCCTGAAATATTTTGATATCGGCCTCAACCCTCCACCACGGAAAATGATTCCACCAAGAATTGCACACATCCGAACTGCGATGTAATTTTGGTTCAGATCTCCTTGATCAGCAAGAGCTGAAGCCCCTCTGGTCTCTAACTGTGCTTGCTCAGTGGTTTGTATGTAAAACAGGTAGTCCTTGAGGGATAATACTCAGATATTTTTCCAGATGCCGTTATATACATTTTCCCCTATCAGCTGAGCTTGAGCAGACTATTTGCTATCTCCAGGGCCAGCGTTAAACACACCAGCATGAGCTGCCAATAAATAATGCAAAAAATTCCCCTAGCGAAGACTTTTTCTCCTTTTAGTAAGGGGGGAAAAAATATCAGGATTCAGGTAGCATGGGAGCAGCTGAAAGTTGTAGTCTAACCTCCTCCTGGGGTTTTTTACGTGGGTGGTTTTTTAACCCCAGATGTTGTGGGGGAGGTTTGCCAAGATCTCACCCTTCTCCCTTCTTGTGTCCTTTATTGCAACCCTCCCAGAGTCACCTCCTCCCTGGGAAAACCGCATCCTGCAAACATCTTCCTTGGCTCCTGCTGGTTTCTTCTCTATTTAGCCAGCTGCAGCTGCAGCACTCTTGCAAGAGTTTGTTTTCCTCGCCAGAACCAGGGTTTTCACGTAGGTTTTGTTCCAGCCTCCAAAAGCACTCCCCAGCTGCTGAGTTACCTTTTGGGTGGAAAAGCCCTGATTTTGTCTGTGGCCTGACTCGTGACTGTGGAAGGAGAGGCTCTGGGGTGGATGTAGGGCTGGGGGCTCTCTTCTGGACCCGATTGCTCTGGAAAAGGGCAGCCCAGCATTCCTGAATTTTAGATATTTGGGATTTCCATTGGGCTTTTGACGTAGCGGTGCTGCGGGCGGCTCGGAGCGCTCCTGCCTTTGGGCTCTGGCTGCACCCACACCCTGGAGCACAGCGTCTGAGCAGGAGGGTGCTCACCAAACATCTGCCGTGACAAGGGTAGAAATCCTTCTTGGTCCCCGCGGAAGCACTCTTTGCACTCCCAAAGCACGACATTTTCCAGTAAATATTTGCAATCACGGTAGAAGTCTGCCAACCTGCTGCTCTCTGGGTTTTCAACTAGGTCAGCATGAAAACCTGTTTTTCACCTTGAAAACCCACTTTCTTTTGCAGCTGTTGTGATTATTTTTCATTCACCCCTTCCCCATAAACAGCCATTTCTTATGAACCTGTTTCTTTACAACCCAGAGGCTGCAAGGTACAGATGTAAGAAAAAAAAAAAAAACCATCCTGTACCCACCACCCCCTCTGGTTTAATTACTATTTCAGTTCTCCCCTGCAGTGCTGCGTGTTCTCGAGGAGCACAGGAAATCCTCTGTGCACGGCAGCCCTGCAAATATATATTTCTTTCTTAAAGCTTGGAAGGGAATGAAATAAATACAACACACTTTGGGTTTCGCTAAGGCAGAGAGGAGGCTGCACCGCCAAACTGGGGGGTCCGGATGGATGCTGAGGTCCAGGACGGGTGGCTCCTGTGCAGATCCTTAGCAGAAAATAAAAACCTTGCAGCAAGGAGCTTGTGATTCAAATAATTTAATCAGGCAGAGGTGCCTGAGCCGTGCATAGGAAGGAGGGGAGCCCGGTGTTGAGTACTGAGCAAACCAGCGCCTGCCCTCTTACAGAAGACATTGCTGGAGTTTCTTTTTTGCAAGAACAAATCTCGTTCTTGATGAAATCCCCCCAGGTTGAGTTAACAGCTCTCCAGGAGGGATGTCCTACGGGCACAGCCGGGCGACGTGGGGATGTGGCAGATGAAACAGCGATGGTGGGTTTGCTGCCCGTGTCTCTTTGCCTGCCCTGGGTGTAGGCACGGGCTCTACACGCTGTGTATCAGACTCTCCATGTGAACAAAACATGTGCCGTAGGCTCCGTCTGCAGCGTGCCCCAGGGGAGGAGACCCCCATGTGTGGCTCCTGGGGAGGGGGAGAAGTGTCACCTCCTCCAAGGACGGGCTGATGGGTTAGGATGCAGCTGGGACCTGGCCAAGCTGGCGTATCACATCTTGCTTCATTTATACCCCTCTTCAAGGCACCTTAGTAAGGGTGGGAATGGTCCCCAGGCGCTGCGGGCGAGCTCTCCTGGGAGTCGGGGCAAACCTGCTCCCACCAGCACCGTGGCTCCCCGGTCCTCATTCCTGCCATGGTCTGGGTGCTGGGACAAAGATCATACAGAGAGTCCTTCCTGCAGATAAAAAGCCATTTCCTTCAGTGCATCGGGACTGCAACCCTGGAAATAAATACCCTGGGGAGCAGGATGCTGTTCCCAGTATTCTCTTCTCCCATATCAGTTTGCACACTGGTGACATTTAAAATTTAACAGATGCTTTTACGATGCTTCTGTGTCCACCTTGTGCCCACCCTGCACAATCCAGCCCCTAAACTGGGCTAGTTATTTCTCCAGCCAGCTCCAGAGACCCTTTTTTTAAGCACCCTGGAGAACCATCCCTGCAGTGCTTTGCAGTGCCCTGCTGTTTTCCTGGGGTGCTGTGGGCATTCAGCCTGTCCAGAGGAAAAATTCCACACTGGGTCTTTATTAAACATTGTCATTTATTTTTGATTACGGATAGGTCCTTTATTTCAAACAGAACAGTTTATTCACAGCAAAGTTTTTTTTTTTTTTTCCATGCCTCTTGGAAAGAATTAGCATTAAAAAAAAAAAAAAGGAAAAAGGCTTGGATACATGCAAATCATACCGAATGCTGCCAAATGTATTAAAATGAACAGCAGAGGTTCTTCTAAGTTATCTACTTGCATACGGAGGAGAAACAACAACGGACAGCATGAAGCCCCTCTGGAAAAGGTGTGCAGCTTCCCGGTGGCGGGATGTTAAATGAACAGAGCCAGAGAGAGGAGGCAAAGGTCTGACTACGTTTGCACCCCGAAAAAGTGAAGCCTGAGGGTCACTGCTGCGAGCCAGGGAAATGATGCTGTAAAGCTGGTCAGGGGAAGGGCTCTGAACAGAGAGAAAGGGGCTCCCTCTTAGCAAAGGGAGTTGGGTTTGGTCCTTTGTAAAGGAGGGGAAGGTTTTCCCACTTTCCTGTCCCCGTCTCCATCCCCAGTTTAGGATCAAATGAAATTCTGGTTCCAAAGCCAAAGTGCACGCTCTGGTGCTGCTGCTCTGGGGTGATCCATTTTCCATCAAAAAAATAAAACCAAACCAGCATTTTAGAAACAAAGCCCTTCTCATCTGTGGGGGGATGGACACAGCCCAGGGACCCAAGAGCCTTTCAGAGGCTTTAAATTCCCAGCTGGCTGTGTCCGCCCAGCCCTCTGTGGCAGTGGTACAGGACTGAACCCCGGGATTATTTTTTCTTTTATAAACCTTTTGGTATTGTGGTCTCTCTTGTCAGCAACAGTAATCAACCTGAGCTCAGCTCCGGCTCCAGATTTTGCACATTACTCCCCAAAATGTACCATACATGCGCTCCCAGCGTTGCTGGTGCAAACTCCCGGTACCACAGTAAAAGCTCTGGAGTTCTTGCAGCAGCACGGCTGGTGGGAAACTGGCTTTTCCATCTGAATAAATACCAGACAGGCACAAGTGCCAGCGTGATTTCAGTAAGGCTGGAGGGCAAAAGCAGCGTCCAGGCACACTGCGGGCTGGGATTTAGCTCCGCACCAGGAAAGCAAAGCTCTCCCTTTGGGCTGGCTCACGAGATGAAGAGAAACAGCCCTGGTTAGTGTGTGAACAGACTTTTCTTGGATCTCAGCGGATCGTGCTATTCATCAGCAACTCCTGGAGTCAGGACTGGAAAGGACGGAAGGTTTATCTCGGCGGCAGTCCTCTGTGGGGGGACTGCTGTCTGTCCCTCGCACGTGGGAGAGCAGCTGGGGGCTGGCTAGATCCAGAACTAAGGAAAGGGAGCCCGAGCCCTTCCCTGCAAAGTCTGGGCGCCTTGCTTCTCCCCTTTTGTGCTTCTAAGGGTCTCGTATTACACCGCCTTGGACGTGCATTTTGGGAATGTTACAAAGCATAGCACGTCGCTGATGTTTTTAAAAACACCTGGCCAGCTTTTATAAAATACAAATATTCAACGCGATCACCTTTCTGTGTTCTGTGGAAAGAAAAAGGTTGACATTCATCGTACGGGAGGAAGGCAGCAGTCCGCGCTCCCGAAGCATCCCACCGTGTGAACTGACTCTCCGCCAGGACCTCCGATGCCGAGGTCTCGGTTTTAAGCTATCGTTGCTCATCACACCGACCCCAGAGCTGGACATCATGTCTGCGGTGTCGCAGCACCTCGCTCCGGCGTGGGGACCTCCCCAGCCTCAACTGTTCTGTCCGGCTGCTCCACGCCTATGTCATCAGTCTCTCCTGGTCCAACCCGCAGGTCCTCCTGGCTCTCAGCTGGCCCATCCTGGCTCTCCAAATCGCTTACCTGACCCTCACCGAACTCCAGAATGGTTGGCAAGTTGCCTTGCTTCGGGCATCGTCTCTTTAGGCTGACCAAGAAGGGTTGCGGCAAGGAGAAGATGTCCACGTTGTTGCCCAGGTCGATCCAAGTGATGCTGGGGAATTTCTTAGGGTCCTTGAGGGTTTCGGTGAGGTCCCGTAGGATGGCTTTGGTGAGCCGGTTGCCGTTGAGGGAGAGGGTGGTGAGGTGGGGCAGCACGCAGAGGGCCGGCAGCAGCTGCAGCAGCATGTCGTCCGTCAGCTCTGTGAAGCACAGCTCCACCGTGTCGATGTGCTCCGCGCTGTGCTGGAGGTAGGACGTGATGCGGTCCAAGTCTTTCAGCGTCAGCGGGATGCCCGACAAGTCCACTGTGTTGTCCGGAGGCTTCCCCATCAGGACAGCTTTCAAGCTGTGGGGGGGGGAAGAAAAGGAGAGGGACGTTAATGTGGGGGGATATCTCCGGTGGTGACATTGCTTTGGGCTCCCTGGCTGCTCTCAGAGGGGGCAATGAGTTCTTTAGGCAGGATGCTCAGCTGGGGTGAACCATCTCTTCTGTGCACTGAGGGGCAGAGAGACATTTCAAGGCTGCCAAAACCAAGGAGACCCTATTAAAAAATCCATAATTCAGAAAGAATGCAGAGTTCCTTTCCACACCCACTGCAAAACTCTGGAATAAACAGCCCACCCTGCTGCTTTTAAAGGTGCACAAAAGGCTAAGGAAGCCCTTGACCAGCTGGGCAGGAACTGTAGCTTACACCGGCGCTGGGGGAACACTCCTCACACTGCTGATGATGAAAGTCTCTGAGCAGGAGGACGTGTTTGTACACGGCTGTCCAAGAGGGAAACTGAGGACCTGCACCAGAACTTCAGCCCAAGACAGCAAATACAGACTAGACACCTCTGGGGTTGGGTGATTTGCTCTCGTATTTCCAGTGTGTCAGATCTATTACGTCTCCAGCCTCGCTGCCAAGCAGATGAGTATGATGGAGGGATCCTTCGCTAAATGAGTAAATTCTCACAATGGCCCTACGGAGACGTATTAGCACGAGCTAGACTGGAGTTTCACAGGTCAATTTATCTTCTAAAGCAAATCAAAGAACACATCTACAACCAGGACCTGTCGGCAGACTGGCGCTGCTGACGACTTCTTGCTAATGAATTCTTCTGAGTGAATTAGGAGGTGGGAAGAGCCGGTGCCTGCTAATTGCTCGTGTCAACTTGGGGAGCTCACGGCTCCTCTGCCGCACACGCGTCAGCCTCACCAGCCAGCTGCAGAAATTATTTTTTTATTCCAGCCTGAGCTGGAGAACGGTTCTGCCCAGCATCTGTTGGTTTTTCTAGCTGGAAACGCAAACCAGCGCTAACGCAGAACCTTGCAAGGTGGTGGGAGCTCCCTGCCAGCCTCCAGGGGAGTCACCTGGCACAGAGGCAGAAAGAGCCTGGGTGCTGTTTTCAGACCAGAAACATCTCACAAATCCTGCCCAGGTTGTGATGGGGAGAGGTGAAAGATCACTTTGAGAGTTTCCTCGGCGATGCTGGATTGTGCCGCACGGTCCGTTTAACAGTATTTTGTTCTTACTCCTCCTTCGAAGGGCTTATTACAAGGAAGAAATGGATGCAGATAAACACTGGGATTAAAGTCAGTAAACACGAGGCAAACAAGCTCTCTTCCCAGCTGCAGTCTGCCCTTAAGCCGTGGCTTTCTGATATTCCTTATTGCCATTTCCCAGATCCTCCTCGGCTCAAGCAAGAACCGAAATCAGAGCTGGCTGCCGCAGCTGTGCCAAAGCCCTTGATCATCACCTGGCTCTCAGATTGCAGTCATTTCACAGGAATTATTTATTTTCAGGGAACACCCCATAGCAAAGACCTAATTTTTTTTTTTTATTTTTTTTTTAGATTTTCCCTGAGCCCTTTACAGGCTCACGTGGCTCCGTGCAACCCTCCTGCTCTAACAGAAAGGCACCTGCCTGCTGTGCTGCGAGCAGAGTGACTGAATTTCACCTAAACGAGGCTGTGCAATTAAAGAAATCAATTCCCACCCTCCCCTTCATGCCTCAGAAACTGCTCAGCTGCTGAAGTGTGTATTCAGGGCTTTTCTCGGGCAGAAATAACTGCAGGGACTGACCCAGGTGGAGGATCAGTCCTTAAGCACGCCTTGGTGGCAGGAGAACAAGAGGGTTTTTAAAAAAAAGTTACAAAGCTAATTATGGTTTTTTTTTCCTTGTTTAATATAAGACCTTTAATGGCAGGTTTGTTTTGTTTTGGGATTTTTTTCTTATGCCACAACAGCTCATCCAGTGCAAACACCATTATGGAATGATATGATGCCAAGCTCCCGTGGGTACATCGATAACATCCTGGTGCTCAGCCCATCTGGACCGTCACTAAACTCTCCCGTGCCTTGGGGACCCATCTCACTGCTGCGGTGGCAGGTCTGTTAACAGCAATTTGTGGTTTGCTGGGTTAGCCGAAACCTCAGACCCATCTCTGCGGTGACTGAGCCAGATCCACGTTACAGGGTCTCATTTAACCCGTACGTGGGCAGAAAGGCAGCTGTTAATGTGACGTGGTGCTTTCTACTGGTAAATTTTTGGCAACACTGGAGAAGAAACTAATGAAATAATATATTTATTATTATTTTTAAAAATTATGTTTATATGTTGGCAGCTACTTCTCTCCCTTATGTACCACTGCGTCATTTTTTGGAAGCAGCGAGCGAGGTGACGTGAGGCTGGGGCCAGGGCAATGCCTGGGTAGCGAGCTCTGCCCACCTAAACTAAAAAAAAACCAAAAAATTAAAAAAAAAAAAAAAAAAAAAAAAAAAGAAAAACCCCACCTAAATTACTCTTGTTTTGCTGTCTGGGAGCCCCAAGCTGGTTGTGCTGTGATCTCACTGTCAAATAAAGCACGTAGCATCCCTGGAAATAAGCAATAACCATTTATAAATGGCTAAAATAAGCCATCAGAGGTTGATCCTTGTTTTATCCAGCACGGATATCCCCTGCTGCCTGCCTGCCTTCGTGCGACTTCTGGTGGGGCTTCTAGTGTGGCTTTAATTTAGCAAAACCAAGAAGATAACGAAGGGGGAATGGGCAGAAGTTCAGGGCAGCTCTTATTTTTCTTTGTTTGTTTTGAGCTGCTTTCAATATTGTTTCCCATTTGGGTTTTTTTTTTTAATTTTCTCCTCCTTGCAGCACACATACAATTTCTGCCACCAAATAAAAGAGAATTTCTCACTAGGGCTCTATCCTTTTCCCCTTACAAGGGATTTAGGTGAAACAGATTTATTCTCTCGTACAAATACCCTTTTCACCCTGTTCTGCAGCCTCCAGCAAAGGCAGAGGAGCTCTCCCACCAGCCCGGTGTTGTGCTGGGGACGGTGCTTTGCTGGTTCGCAGCAGCCTACGCTCAATCTGTCCCTCGGGAAACAAACAAACAAACCCCAGACGTGCTTTCATTAAAATAGTTCTGGGGCTATTCTGCTCCATCTCATGGCAATGAGGAGGATATTACGTTAACAAACAGCTGTAAAAACTTTTATCCCCGCCATAAATTTTGCCCCAGAATGGCCCCAAATTTCTGTAGGAAGATCTTACCATTAACCAAATCCCTCCGAGCTGTAGCGGGGGATCAGTTACACCCACTTGGTTTCATCCTCACATTTTATAAGGATGTTCTATAAGGGAAAACACAGATTTTTTTTTTTTTTTTCCCCAGCTGGAAGCAGTATATGGGGTTTTGACCTATGTGGGTATAGAACCACGCACTAAACTCCTGGTAATTATCTGGCAGGATGCTGATTTCTATATTCTCATGCTGAACTGAAAGCTATTTTGCATGCGTATCGACTCGGATCAGCAACTGTTCCCATGAACATGAATATTGATGTTTAGATGAAAGAGAATTAAAAGAAAGGCATTTCCTCTTGGTTTAAATTCATGGCATTTCTCTCAAGCACCGCACAAACCAGGGCGTGAGATGCTGTCATGTAATAAAGTATAATTGGGCTACTGAGCCACGACCTCGGAGGGCAAATAGCTCAAGAGAAAGGAAGAGGCAGCCCCATAGAGTGAAGAACTACGGCACAGAATTTATGTGATATCACTAGAGGGAAAACGATGAAAACATCAGCAAAAAAAAAAAAAAAAAATTTAACATAATGAATCATCAGAAAAAAAGTAAAGAGATAAAAGACTCGTCCTGAAATACTGGTGGTATCCAAGATAAGTATTAAATAGTTTTTCCAAAGTCCTTACTCCTCCTTCAAATGGTGCCAGTCCAACATGGGAATAGATATTTTGGAAACAGGGAAGGAATGCAAACAGATGCTTAGACTCTGTTAGTAATAATGTTGACAAAAGGGTTAAGGCTCCTCAGCCTCAAAGGAGGAACAGGGCCAAGAAAAGATAATTATTCAGCTTAAATAAGGAATGTGACTGAGGTGTAAATAATAATATATTGGATCTATTAATAGAATAGAATAGAATAGAATAATAGAATGGACCATTACATTACATTATATTTAATATTTTATATATAATGTATATATAGTAATAAGGTTGAATAAAACAGAGAAGATGAGAACAGACTGCTTTTTCTTCGTCCCTCTCCACGCACGAGCCGAGGGGCACCCACTGATGCCGAAAGACTAAACTCCCAGCGGATACAAGGGAAGGAGCGCGCACACAGAGCTCAGATGAACCTCCCAGCTCCAGCCGTGGGACAGCACTGAGATCAAGGGCTTCGTGGGAGGTCCAAAGCGGACACAACCC